TGCTCATCTCGCATGCTGCAGAAGCGGGTAGTTTGGTGGAGCCGGTCTGCATGATTGGCTCCACCGAGGAGGCCGCTATCGCGTCGCTAGCAGGGAGCAGCTTGAGCGCGGACCAGGCCCGCGCCAGCCACCAGATGTCGGCCCTCGAGCTCAACAAAGGATGAATTGGCGAGGCAGGTGACGCGCCGCGGCGCATTGCTGCAAACGGATGCTGTGAGGGAGAGATTGGTAAAACTTACAGTCGTCAGGGACAGCGCCGGCGTCCTGGATGGGAGTGGCGGCGGTGGGAGAACCCGACTTCCAGAACTGCCACCAGGCCTTCTTCTTCTGGGTCTGCTCGGCGTGCGGGTTGGTTCGGGTGTCGCGGTAGAAGAGGATGTACTTCTGGAGCGCCGTGTACTCGTCCATGCCCTCGAACTCGGTCATGGAGACGATGGACTTTTGCCGCTCAGCGGCGCTGGAGGCGCGGGGGCGCTCAACATCGTCGTTGGGCGCCATCTTGTCGAATTAAGGAATGCTGTTGCTCGTATGTATTATTATATCCGGTAACTCTAGGCACAGAGAAGGCTTTCCGAGGCGACTTGACGGTGAGGTTGAGTGTCAGGTCGAATGTGCTGTGCAAATGGGTAACTGCAAGCAGGGCCTTCTCTGTGAAGAAAGTGCAGAGGGTGCGGGAGAGGCTCTGGTTAAGTAGCGCGGCAGAAACTCACCCACGTATCAACCCAGGGAAAAACTCAGCAAGGACCGACCTTTGGCCGCTATGAGGGATTTATGATTGTCATAAAGCTAACAGCGGATGGAGCTTAGCTCGAGCCGAGAGTCCCGGGGGTGAATTTGTTGTGAGCGGCCCGTGCGCCAGCCGCTACATCATCGGCGCGCGACATGGCGCAGAGATTGGCCGTCGCAGCGCCCGGCCGAGCGTGATGCGCTGATGACGGAGTGCTTACTACGCTGCTGTACGGCTGCGACTGCGGTTGCTGTGTGCGCAGACTCTGGTACCTCGACGGGCACCAGCCGACAGCAATTGGGATGTCAGCAGCCGGCGTCGCGATTCGCAGCGCGGTTCATTGCTTCTCCACCAGCGGCAGCAGAGATTAAGCTGGAGATAGCGCGACAGTCCGCGACAAGCGTGCAGCGCTGCAGGGATCAGCTCCCATGACGTTTGGCAAGAGCGACCGGCAAACAGCTCCTCCACGCACCTTGCTCACTCCGGACGCACCAAGCTTCAGCACTCACACGCAGGAAAGCTTGAGTGCTTGGCGCGATCTCAGCCAGAGTACGAGGCATTTTCCCCCCGTACGAGAGAGCCGCGTATCCAGATGCCTCCCCACGCTGCCTGCGCGACTTTCCGACTTTCGCATTTGCACAATTTTCTTCTAGCGGCCTTCCAGACCCACGAACCAAGATATGCCACTTATCCCAACTCCCTCAACTGCAGCCGCCGCGCCATAATATCCGACTCCCCCCATGCAGCGCGCGCGACCAGCATGCCCAGATGAAGCAATTGTTTTCTGCCCCCCGCGTAATCGACCGCCGCCGCTTCTGCACAAAGGACCGCACTCCATGATTAAGCACGTGCCAAGCAGCTAAGGGGCGTGTCGGGGCCTGCCTCGAAGCAGCCTTAGCTGTCTGCCACCCGACCATATCGGCCGAATCAGAGGCCCCCAGCCGCCCAGCGTCGCCTGGCCAACGGCTCCCAATTACACCCCATGTTGTGGTCATACAATACATGCTATCTGCGACTCCACACGTCCCATGGCGCCGTTGCGATGCTACGCACACACGACGTTGCGCAGGGTCCTGTCTGTTGAATTTGGATCGCGACCGAGATGACTTGGCTGTCGTGAGGCTGCAGGCATGGATGCGCCAACGCGCCCCAGTTCTTTCCAGACCGAGGAAGGCCTTCCCAACGAGGAAGCCGCGTCGGCGCGCCACGTGACGTCCTGCCTGTGGCTCGCTCTCGCCTCCCTTGGCTGCGCGACTGCCGATGCTTCGCCGGTACACCAGTGAGCCTCACCGCATTGCCTCAGCCTCCAGAACGAGTGCGGGAATAATCATCGCACCCACAAATATCACCCTCCGTCGCCGCTGCCGACACCAACCTCTCCATGCCTGCCCCGAGCCCTGAATCGCCAACCCCCACCGCCAATACCGCTGTCGGTCCGCGACCGTCACGCGCATTGCAACGCCATGTGCGTGTCATGTCGCCTGAAGACTTACCGGTCGAGATATGGCACATTATCATCATGTATATAGACGATCACTGTTTCGCCTGGTTCGTGCTGCGCCAGATATCTCCCTTTCTGGCTCATGTCGCGCAAGATGTCTTCGCGCGCATCGTCTCGCGTACCTGCAGTCTTCGCTTCGCTGGACAGACGCTATGGAACTTGCTGTAAGCCGCGTTTCACCCTGCGCTGCTCGGGAAACTTTCACTCACCATGCCAGTCCTCCTGATCTTCGCTGTGATACACAACCCCCATATCACACCTTCCGCGTGCAGTTGCCGTCGTTTCGCTTCCAGCCCTCGTCTTTTGTCCCCGCTAGCTCCAAGGCCAGACTTGTTCTGAAACTATCTTCACCGGCAACTGTGAACGACACGCCATCCTTGCGCCAGCCATATGCAGGGACGGTAGACCTGACGAGCCGCCTCACTCAGGTTTTCTTCCATCCCGGCGCTGTCGCAGACGCCGAACGCAACCGTTTGCTCAAGCAAGCCCACTTTGTGCTTTTTGATGACCAATTAAAGAGCGTCCGCCTGCCTTCACCAGCCATCGATGTTACCGCCCAGGAACTATCGCTCGACTGGCGCCAGCTCTGCGAGACCTTGATGCGCGACCAGTTCAAGTGTCGCTTTGGCTCCGGTGCGTCGGTCCCCTGGTGGAGAGAGTTTCCGTGACCGGTCCTGTATCACATACCAAGAGCCTACAGTACTTCACCATCGTCACGAGGCCATAACATGTTCTCCCGTCTGGGCAAGCGCACAAGTAATCTATGCTCGTTGCACCCCCAGATGGGTTTGATGGCCCGCCAAGTAGCAGATCAATTTTGCGTCAGCAACGGATCTGTGTAGATCGCCCTTGGCACTGGGAACACACACCCCCGACGATCCAATGTGTCCGCCGTGCGCCTCTCCTTCTTCTCCGCCTGGGCATGTTCCTTCATTCCTTCATGCCCGGGTCATTATCGTTCACCATCCGCACCTTACTTTAGACAAAGTATGCCCAGCTTCTCCAAGTGTTGCACTTGGGTGCGGCATTTCTGACATTGCCTTGGCTTCCCTCGCGGGACTATCCGAGCCGCGGACGTCCACATTGGTTTTCCACGATGTGATGCAGCTCAACCTCAATATCGTTCTTGATGAACACATACGACCGTTCATTCCGGCTATCATCCTTCACAATTCATTATAGTGGCCACCTCGACGTCGTCTTGGTGTTAGCGCGAGCCATCACCAGCAGATTTCCGTGACTAGCAGTGCAGTTACCCCAGAGTATACACACTCCACCTCCGTGGGGAAGCCAAGCGTTCAGTAGTACATGTGTTCCTTCTCCTCTCCCAACAGTGTGTCAGCAGATTACATGTCTTTGTCCTCCGCTGCCAAGTAGCTCTGTGCGGACACACCAGCCTCGGCGGAGACCGTGTACCACACAGCATACATCTCCTGTCTGTGCAACCTCTTGGCCACTTTGTCTTGTTACTTTTCTTAATTGGACTACATCATGTGTTACTTTGCGCTACTCTACTTCATATCCCTTTATATTCTTGCGTGCGTTAGATTTCATTCGCGCCAAGTCTATAATCCTTCACTGTAGGATGCTGTGTTGTCACTGACGAACTTGGCTTAACATCAGACTATTGGGTACTTGCTGACTTCAGTAAAGGATTGCATGGAAATATGGGGGTTTCGACTTGGCTCTGCCATGAATGTGGCTTCTGGGACAAGACCATGTGTCAATCACAAGCATTGTGCCGTCTTATCCGCTATGGCTGCCAAGCATACCCGCTGCACCTAATCCACCTCTTACAGATCGGATCTGAGCGACAGAAATCTTCATATTGCAATGTAATGATGTAACGTGTCTCTTGGAGTTATCGGTGATATCCAGATACGCTGTATTGTGTTGTGCTATGCTATGCCATAGCTTGTAGGGACCAGCGCACAACATAGTTCGTATTTTCTCTGTTACCCGCGGAGAGGGCACCGGATAGATGTTGAGTCTGAGTTTTCAAATGTGAACATGACGTGTCATCCGCGTCGTCGGGGGCATGCTGTTGGGGCAGGTGGTGCTGTTCGTGGCATCGCTAGAACCACAATTTACTTTGCATCAGCAAACAGAATATTAATTCACCACACCACCAAATTTGCCCAGCACGTAGTCAAACGCTCAGAAATGGTTGAATAGACCGTGAAAATTGAATTGCCGACGTTTGCGACGAACCCGATATCGCTATGCAGGGTTAAAATAGATAGGGCTGAAGTTTAGGTTCATGTCAGCAGCTACCGGGTGCATCCTTATTCGATGCAGAAAAGGTTCACAACGGCGTGGCAATACCACAACGTCAAAACGAAGTCCGCCCGAAATACAAACGTTATTAAGATGGTTCAATGACATGCTGTCACTCCAAGCAAAATATACGTTGCACCAATTTACCGCATCGCGACCTCTACTACACGACACCCGTCCTCATCGCCGCCATCGCACTCTTCATAGCGGTAACAACATGATTCGCAACAGGCGCATGAGCGTTCTGTCGGAACAGAAAGATATATCGCACCATCACACTTGCCTCATCGGTAATAACATGAACACCGGTGGTAACGCTGTTTCCCTGCCCAACGACCTCGCACCCAAGGATAACACGCATATTAGCCAGCGCACTATTCTTCCAAGTCGAGTAGACAGGCGCATAACTAAACGACGTCGCAGGATCTTCCGCCATATAAATACCCCTTCCATACACAGCGCCCGTGCGTTGGAGAGTTGTACCCGAGCAGACGATTAGACCTTTGGCGAGGATTCCTGGGAGGCGGTCTAGTGATGTACCGTGAAATAGTACTGTAGTCTGCGTAGAAGGACTCGGCAGCTTTGACATATACGCTGTTTCTAACGCCGGACTCGCATTCGCCAGGACAAACTGATGTGTACCAGTCGGCAGATTCTTGATCCTGCACAGCCCGCTTGCTGTAGCTATGTAACCGCGATAGTGCGTACATGCCCATGAGATGAGCTTCTCAGCGTCGGAGTGGTATCTGGATAGGACGGTGGAGATTTGGACTGCGTCGCGGATGACGGACAGTTTGGGGAGACTATCGAGGATGGTTTTGACGGTGCTGATGGGGTGGATGGGACAGTTAGGGAGGAGCTCGATTTTGTTGGCCATGGCGGCGCTGTAGACGGAGCTGAGGAGCATGTCGACGGCGAAGATGTCGGTGCGGATTTCGGGGATGCGGACGTCGAGGGGGAGGGCGTACCTGTATTGGACCTGGTTAGTGATTGTACTATCGACGCTTTCTGTTCGGTGATGGCTTACCATAGCAGTTGACATGCGACAGTCCAACATGGTGTAGATCTCCGCAGTTGCGTGTTCTTCCCTTTGTGGCGGCAGCCACAGGAGATGCATCTTTGCCCCATTTCTCCGACCATAGTCTGGACGAGGCCGTACAGCCCTCTCAACGATACGTTCCCCGCGCGAAGGTACCGATGGATATGCCTGTTCATCTGCCATACGAAGACAGTTTGCTTCGAGAAACACACATTACCGTGTGGTGCATTGGAAGTTGCAACACAGACCCACGGGAAATGTTGATCAGTCTCTATACCCTTGTCACTGTCGTAGTGCACACAGAACGCGGGTGGCTTGCTCCCATACCGATCGATGGTTAGCCGTATGAGAAGGTTGTTCGCTGTGCTCGGTACGCCCATTGCGCTTCGTTGTAGCTCGGTGTAGGAAGCGAGTGTGAAGCTCATCTCAATCTCGTCATCATCGATCAGCTCAACTAGATCGATGATGCCGGGAGGCAGTTCTTGTATTTCATCTTCCAGCAGATTGCTATCGGGTATATTGTACTCCTCGATCAGTAAAGCTGTCTGCAAGGGGTCTTTCGCTTTCAGTGTTCGCTTTAGCCCTTCGAGGCGTTCGGCTTCTCGCATGATCTCTGCTTCGATGCCATCCCAGAATTCTGTTGCTTTGGAGAGCTCGCTCTTAGGGATATTCTGCTTGTATACTTTCAAGTCGAGTAGCTGAGCGAGGCGTTCGATAACCGTTTTCGTCTCTAGTGCTACGTCGTCGTCTTGGATCCAACCAGCAACCATGACCTCAGCGACAGCTAATGGGATGTCGTATCTTCGCTTGGAAATTGTTTGGAGGGGTTTCTTCTTCTTTGGCGTCAATGAGTCTGGTTGCGTCATGACCTTGTACTGTTTGGACGCGCCGTCGCAGTAGACAACATCCCTCGAGACGATCCGAGAAAGATCAGCTTGCTCGTGAGTAGGTAGACCAGGTATGTCCAGAAAACCACATTTCGCGTCCCAAATCTCGTTGCAAGCTTCTATAGCCTCATATGGTGCGTCCAGTAGTTTGGATAAATACTCAATGACCTCGCGCATATCTGATATTCGACCGCATACCCATATGAGAATGTTTTGCATAATTCTCTCGGCTGAATTCCCTTCCGCTTTTTGGAGAAGTGAAAGCATGGCCAGGTTCCGTTTCCTTTGTGGTTCGGTAACATACGATAACATTTGACGTACTGCGAATGAACTGTCGGATACTTCTTCGAGCTTCGTCAAGGTGGGCCCGAACTTTAATACTTGTGATACCCAAGTCAAAATCTGGGGCTGCAGTAGAGATGGTAGCTCGTGTTTGTTGGTGTTATCGGCAATGATGTCGGCGAAGATCGTCTCCAGTGATTGCATGAAGGAGAGCCATGTCGCAGGATCCATGGTTTGGATCAAGTGGTCGATGATGGCAGTGCCCCATCGCGCTTCTTGCTTCTCACTTTGGTTTAGCCATCTTAGTAAGACCCCTCTCCAACATTTTTTGCAACCTTCCCGTGCTGCCAGGGTGTTCGTCAAAGCAATGATGGCTTGCCGTGAGTCCGTCTCCTGCACACGAACGATACGCACTATGTCTCGGACAAAAGAGGAAGATCGCCCCAAGCTAAGATCTACTGCGAGCTCATAGATACATTCGCACTTGTGTCCAGAAGGATTTTCGATATCTCTTGAAACCAGTATAGCTAGCATGCGTCGGTCGACATCATCCACACCTTCTCCGGTATTCTCCCAGACTTCAAGGATGTCACGCAATATTTGCTCGGTATTGTCGCAAGATACTTCGGCAGTAAGCAGGTGGTCGACACAGTGTTTCTCGATGATTTCTTCAAGTGCGTGCCGTGATTTCTGATCTTTCGCATCGGATGCGAATAAGAGGGACTCGGTCGAGGTATCAGGATCGAACCAGACGAACGTGTGCCTTGTCTGCAATTCGTTTTGATGTAGATTTTGGGCGGCGGCGTATATCTCCTTGATCGATGTCATTCGTTTAGCGCTGGGCCATGCGCCGACATCCGCTCGGACAGCAGGCTTCAGTCGCGGGAATATATGTTCAGATGTTTTCACGGCCATGCAAAATGTGTGTAGCTCTAGTAGAAGGCGTAACCATGCCGAAGTCTTTATCTGATTCCTTACGACAGATTGGCACTCGCGAAAGCACTCTCCAATCCCCTCGAATAGCCAATCTTGGAGGAAAAGCTCGCGAAAAACCGTCGCTTTTGGTGCGTCGAGGAGATGGAGGAGTTGTTGAAGAGCGTGGACATGGAGTCCGCCGATTTGCTCCTTCTCGGACCATAGTTCGCGAATGAAGGCATGATTATCTTTCTCCGGTGTACATGCAATCTCTAACGAAGCGTCGAAAAGATCCAAGCTGCTCTTCGTAATTATTCCGCCGATGGTCAATGCTCGAAACAGATTGAAGAGGCTTTCGCCCTGGGGCAGCGAAGTGGAGACAGCGTCCAACCTTACCACGAGTCTTTCTAGGCTGGTCGCTAAACGTGCTTTTGTGTGCTCAGGGACCTCGATGATCAGGCCGCGGTAGTGTACCCAGTTCCTTTGTTCGCTATAGCCCGCTATCAGACCCTGACGTAAAGTTGGCCTAGTACCCGTGATCATATCAGGTCCTTCCAGAGCCACGACGTCGAGGATAGTCGACATATGGATGGTGTCTATCCTAGAGAAACGTGTGATACGATCAACATCCGGTATCCAAGAGGCCCACATCCTCCAGGCTGGGAAGTGGTGGCGATCGAAGACAGTTTCTATGTTGGTACAAGGTGAATCCGAAGACGACGACACGTCCAGTTCCGTCATCCAGTCTACTGCTTTCTTAGCTGCTACCCAATTACATGTCAACCGGAAGCCATTCAGCTGCTCCGCATAATCTTTTATAGCTCGTCGTAAGAGAACCGCGAAGTTATGAAGGTCGGCGTCCGTATTGTGGGTTTTGTGATTCTCTAAGGCTCGCTTTACGCCCTTCAGATAGCAGCCGGCTGCACTGGCGCCGGTGGTCGCATAGGGTAAGAGTGTGCGTGCCCATTCTGCTTGCAGACGTGTTACTAAGGCAGGGTTCCCTTCATGCGCAGCGATCACGCTCTGTAGCCAAGTGTCGAGGCCCCAATAGCTTCCACACATAACGTTCGTTTCAGCTCGTAGTAATTGGCTCAGGCTCTCCGCGGACATAGCATGCGCTACGGAAGCTATAGCAACATCTCTTGCCGGGTGTGTCTGAACCAACATCGAAAGCCTCCTATCCGTCTCTTCTTGGCTGATCTTGCCTTTCTTCTTGAGATAACTATCGGTGTGATTGCGGATGAAGCCCCATGGGAATCGACGGTGTGAGGGGTGTAGTACCCCAGCAGTGGCCTCTACCTCCGCATGCCATTCTTGACTGTGATCGGTCTTCTTGAAGATTGTCGTGCTCTTCAACGGAATGGCTCTTTTGGCCCATGACATATGGGAGCGTTTGCTGGTATCCTGTTCGACTGCAGTAGGAGGCATGACGGCGGTGGCCATGCTTGTCATATGTTTATGGGGAATGACCCTGCTCCAAGGGGGATATGATAAAATAGATACAGATGGAACGGCTAGTTCGAGTCGCGTTACGAACGGTCGGTCTGAAGAGAGTCGCGGGTATCGGTTACCGGCAACAAAGCACGAGAACTTTCGAGCAAATTGCAGGGGTTGAATTTGGTACGATGGGGATTTGTACCAGGATCGCGCTTTCCTTGGAAGCGCACGAGGATAGTGGAACCCAGAGTAGCATAAGGTTGGTAGTGTTCAAAGAGGTGCGGCCAATAGACCGTCGGGTGATGAGGGAGGAGGAACATCAAATCTTGGAGGCGCATAATGGATATTACGGCAAAGATACATCGCTAGTCTGGTGTAGCTCACATGTGATGGGTGGCCTTTTACTGCGGAGACTTGAGACTTTGGGGCTGCGCACAAGGCTGAACAGGGTGGCTTATACGGAAAGCACATTCACCGGCCCCCGAAACGGCTAGTGGGATTGCGACTGTGTAGGCTAACCATGGTACGAGACAGCGGTAAGCGAAGCGACGAAAATGGCAATCTAATGTAAGGAATGGTCAACGAAAGCTATCTGGCAAAGTTGATCGAGCAATCGGCGTATGAAAATGCCTTGTAGGATTGTGTGATCTAAGGATTCGTGACTACGGCGCCCGGAACCAGCCTGATTCAGCCGCGAATGTGCCTGAGGGTGGCAGACATTGTTACAAACACTGACGACCTTTATGCATATTGTTACCTCCAGAACGCAATGGACTGCTTAAGCGAAACGCACGGACAGTCCCGATTTGAGACCATGAAGCTGCTACAAGATATCACATGATCGAACAATTACCTTCGTCGGTGTCAGGAGCGACACCACGGTTCTTCCGCAGATGCGCAGCGGCTTGCCGAATGAAGTCGCCTGTCTTGTGAAAACACACAAGGTTCCCTTTCGCATCCTTCACTGCTTCACCGATAGACCAGTCATAAGACTGCCCAGTGTGAGAGTCTGTGGCAGGACACTTGAGACCTTCGATCGCTTTTTGCTCAAGATCTGGTACTGCTCGTATATTAGTCTGTTGGTCATAATTGTGCCGAAAGAAGACTTACGTGTTGCAATGTATAGGAGGAACTCGTCTACTGCCTTGCGACTGGGGAGCGTATCGCTACTTTGATCTGCTAGCAAGATCGCTGAGAGCTTCTCCATTTGTATGATTGTTTCCGTCCGCACGCCCTTGGACATCTCGCGCTGCTCGACTCGTAGAGCTGCGAGAGACTTGCCGGTTGGGTGTAGAAGAATTCCCTTGACGTCTTTAGGAGTGAACATTTCCCTGCTCAGTGGGTTTCGAAGTACGCCACCGTTTGCCTGTATAGCCTGGACAAGTTCTAAAGTTGGTCACAAAGTTAGTAAGGGTCTCGTCCGAAAGTTGTGTATGAAAGCCACATACCATCCATCGACCACGCATAGTTGTCCTCGGTCACATAGAAGTCCTCTCTGGCGATGTCCTTGATAGTGTCTCCAAGCATGGTCTCGTCATTGACGTAGTTCCTTTCGAGATGCTCATGTTCGACGTGCATGAAGCCAAGCTCGCAATGAACTTTGAGCGCATCAGGGAGCGTCGAATCGATGGCTCTTCGGCGTTTGACTAGAGTATCGCGAAGCGTATCTGTACTTGCACCCGAGGGTGTGCCATATGGCGCGCGCACCCATTGAATCATGACTTCCAGATCTGCGATGACCAGGTTCGTGGCCTCTTTTGGTTTGTCTCGGATGTTTCGCGCCACAGAACGAGCACTTGCTGGTGGGCGCATTCCACTGTAGACGGCCCCGTTACTACCATCCGCCATGAGATGAACTTTAGCGAGGTTCTTAGATTGGGGCAAGCCGGCTTTTTTCTGGAGGGTCTGCAGACGCAGCAGATTCGCAAACACATGTGTTGCCTTGGCACGTATGTCACGATACCCAGTAACCAGGTTTCGCTGTTCGTCGTTTAGGTCATCTACTGAATCGCCTAAGATGAAGTCCGACCGCTTGGATCCACGTTTCGATATTGGTTTCGTCGTGAATGGATAGTTATTCAAGGGTTCGCCTCCGGTCTGGGCAGAAGATGCCTGTATTCGCTTGACTGCCTTCTTCTCGGGCGCTGGAAGCTCTGGTACTTTTTCGAGAATCTTTAAGAACCTAACAACGTCTAGGTCTGTGGGAGCTAAAGCCTGGAGCTTCTTGGCCTCATCTAATGCACCTTCCAGCCATTCATTGCCGACTGCGATGTAATGTTCGATAAGCAGCTTCCTAGCTTCTATGCCTGGTGGACTACGAGATATGCTCTCGTATAGCTCTCCAATGTAGATCATGTCGGGGCCTCCTCCATATGCAGCAACGCCTGATGTCGCGGCCATGATTGCTGAAGCGCCAGCAGGATGAGAATGCTGTGAATCCGGATGTCAATGGTGGGCTGGATGTCAGAGTCGCGAATGCTAGGCTGAGCCCGGTCGGGCCTGCTTGTAACAAGTCGAAGCAACTTTGGATTGTGTAAAATGCTTGTGATGAGCTGTGCTCTGCTGGTCAGTGGGGTTGGTTAGTTGCATGGAGAGATCAAAAACTGGAAGCCACAAGGCTGAACCAGAGCGAAATACGGCTCCCACCGCATGTGGTGACCGGTGATTGTCAAAGGCAGCGCTCGAGGTTGGCTGGCACTGCAGGTCCCAGTGGCTTAGCGCGACGCTAGTGCCCGCTACCCGCGACACTGCCCACCTGGGCAGGTGCCTCGTGAATGCGGGTGAGATAATTACCCCACGAGAGGATATTTTTAAATGTTTGTATTCAAGACAAGACCTGCGATGCAGTAGCCTCGCGGTTCTAAGATCCAAATCTAGGGTATCAAGCTCTCCTAGGCCCAGTCACATCGAACCCAAATCAGTACAGCAAATCCGCGAACTCACCCAAAACTCCCTCCTTGCCGCCATCAAAGAAGTCATGCATGCCATCCATAGCCGCAAAGTGCTCGGCCACCTTCAAGCCCCTTAGTCGCTCTGCCTCGATAACGTCCCAGTTCCAATCCTTCGCCTCTACAGCCTTGGGCAGGACATCGTCATTCGGCCCTTGCTCTTCGGTTGCAGCCTCTTGGTAGACCCAGTCTTCTGGCTTTGCAGGTACCATATCGGCATCGACCAGCACATGTTCCGGTGGCACCGTGATCCTGCCTCGCTTGACGACATACTTTGCAATCGCAGTAGCATATATCGCGCCCTTGAGCTTCTCTGTATCAACGTCCTTGGCTGGCTGGGGCTTCTTCCAGGGCTGCAGTGTCCAGCTCTCGGGCTGTGCCACGCCAGGCTTGACCATATGTGTGACAAGATAGAACCACTTCTTGTCCCAGCACAGAAGTCTTGTCCACATCTCGTACTTCTTGTATGGAAGGATCTCCTTCTTGAACAGACAGCTTATGCCTCCTAGCGCGATGTAATGCTTGCCCCGTGTGCCATCGGTTGCCCCTACTGCTCCTGCTACAGCGCTCTTCTTGGCGCCACCTAGACGACTGTTCTTTCTTATACCGTTGCGAATGAGTGCGGTAAAGAGATGTGTGCGGGATATGTCCATGTCGCTAAAGTATGTGCTGTTGGACTTGTGCATGTTGTAGTCTGTCTCGAGGAACGTAGTACGCGTCGAGGTAATGATCGGTTGGAAGAGCGCATGCGGAGGGATCGGGGTCGGTTGGAAGTACAATTGATAGAACAAGGCGCGGATGAAGCGTAGCTATGAATATTGTCAGCTCGAAGTCGCGTGTCTTGCCGCTCCGCCATATACGTACATGCCAGACAAATGGCAAATTCTTGAGGTTCGCCAATGCGAGAAGGATCGCAGCTATCCTCCACAGACCGCCAGGCGCGTTGTAGCCCGTCCATTTGGCCAGCATAGCCATCAGGTTGCCTCTCATAGTAGGTTGCGACACGAGTGCTGCCATTGACGCGCCCGCAACGACGATGCTAGCCGTCTGAGCCATTGTGACCATACCAGAAGATGGCTATCGATCTAATGAGCGACAGCAAGGGATGGGCACGTTATTATACAATCAGCGTCAGCATACGCCGCCCTGCCCCTTCGCGAAGGTTCAGGTGCCCTTCCTAATCGCGAGCCGAGGCTCGGAATGTTCCGCACTCAAGAACATGTGGATAGCTGCGCAGATCCGCATCCTCGATTCGCAACTTTGACCTACTTGAGGATACTCACCATGTCGCCGGTACAGCTCAGCGAGTTGGAACCTGCCTCATCAACAGCATGTCACAGCGCATATGACGGAGTACAGACTCACGTGACTACCGCTTCGGACGCCGGGGAGGCTACCTAGGTAGAGTTCATGTGGTAGGCTGCATTGCACGCTATTGAACTTAACGACTGATCATGTTCTAGGGCCAAGTATGCGTCTACCCTGATGATGTTTTTTACAGTATCTTCGTAGTAACCGACAAACATTACAGCTACCCCTCCCTCGTGACACCGATATCCCTCGCACAATTGTTTCAGGTATCATCACAAAGTACTAACACTGTACTGCTACTGGCCACCAGTTGTCGCAACCATGTATATTGGACATGATCAGTCCGGTAAAGATGCGCGACGCATGCTCATGCGTGGCTGTGGCACAGCTTTGATGCAGCGACAGGTAGTTAATCGCGCTTCCCTCTCGAGTCTGATGGCCTGCCTCCACTCTTCCGAGAGTCCCTAACACGGATCTCTGCTCCTGGACGCTGCCCAAACCCGAGAAAATCATCGCCATATGTCAGCTACATCTTTTTCCGTTTGGTCGTCGGTCTCTATCACGAAGACCACATCGTGCTCCAATCCGCTCTCAGTCTTATCGCTCAGGCCGCGTGCAAGTCATGCGGCTGCTCAACGTCCACACCCGGCAGCTGGAGGAATTTGTCGGTGATGCAGTCCCTCCATACGCAATCCTATCGCATACCTGGTGAGTTCTGGCTCTCCGAATTGCATGTGAAACATGTACTGATCTCGCGCTCCCGCCTCTGTAGGGGACAGGAAGAAGTCCTGCTCCAAGATCTGACAAGAGAAGGACACAAGCGAAAGCAAGGCTACGCCAAAATTGAGGGATGCTGCCAACAGGCGGTCAAGGACAACCTACTCTGGGTATGGGTCGACACATGCTGCATTGACAAGACGAGCAGTGCGGAACTCTCGGAAGCTATTAATTCCATGTTCCACTGGTACGAGAACTCTAAAATCTGCTATGCCTACTTGCAGGATGTGCCATCCGAGTCAGATATATACGAAAAAAGCTCCGCTTTTCGTAAGAGCCGATGGTTTACAAGAGGATGGACCTTGCAAGAGCTACTTGCTCCACGATTGATTCAGTTTTACGATACCAATTGGGCAATAATCTCTTCGACAAACACGCGTGATAAGAAATCTAAGAATGACGGGAAGTGGATTAGTCTTCTGTGCGATATCACGTCCATCGAACAAGACTATATCCTCCACGAACGGTACCGTACATTCTCTGCAGCGCACACATTCTCATGGATGTCGAAGCGAAACACCACTCGTGTGGAAGACGAGGCATATTGCCTACTCGGTCTGCTCAACATCAATATGCCGCTGTTATACGGAGAGGGCAACAAGGCTTTCATCCGACTCCAAGAGGCTATACTGAGCAGCTCAGATGACATTAGTCCACTTGCTTGGGGCTACCACTGTCGTGATGCGCCCACTGTGTCGTATTTAGCAGCATCACCGAAAGTATTTCCTGGATATCCGGAGCCGCCGAGAAACCCCAGCCGGCGAATACCAAAAATACACACCACCGTCACTGGACGTGGGTTGCACATCGAGCTTCTTATGGTCCGTCTCAACGCACGAAACAATGTATGGTTAGCTTTCGTAGAAGAAGAACGTCGCAGGCTTCCAGGAATAGGCATTATCCTACAGCAAATACCAGGTGGAAATGGAAACGTCTTTGCAAGAGTTAGCAGCTGCCCGCCCATTCCCGTTCGAATGGAAGACTTACCTCGGCGCACAGCTTGGGCTATCAGAAACAAACAGATATACATCGCTCATGATATCAAATATCGCTCGATAACCGAGCGTGACCCTCGCGGCACCATGCGGGAAAGGTTCTTCCCTTACGTTCAACTTCAATCATCTGGGTTCCAGTCCAGACCTGATATGAGAGTGGAGCTTTCATTCGTTGCTGAGACCGGATACTCGCCCTCAAGCTCCTGGCCCCCAGTCTTTGATCACTTCAATAATCCCCACGGACCATACTTCTATTGCTTTGGACCAGAGAGCAACGTGTTCTACGTAGTTTTCTCCAAGGAAGATCAGGATGGAATCGCAGTAAGAGTTAGTGTTCGATTTCATCACCGTTACTGGGGGGTTAAGTCAATAGAGACAGCATTCTGCGTACTTGGCGGTGGAAATGTTCGTACAGCTTTGGAGCATTGTTGCGGAACGAAGCTCGGTTCAAAGGTTCCACAATTCGCCAAAGACGTGCAGTGGAGCCATTGGTTAGCTGTAAACAACGCGACTACTGGTGAAAGTGGTCATGTGTATGCGGTCAACGAGCTGTACGACGAGTGGACATATACAGGTTGTGAGTTAGTATGGAAGAGAGGGCCTTACGTCGAAGAAGGTCCGACCAACCCCTGGCGTTTGGTGACAAGACCCGAGAAGGACGCTGAATGAGTACATTTCCATATACCCTCGGAAACATCGCGAAGACTTCTCTGGGAAAATACACGCTGCCCTGCGCAAATTTCCAGCTTGCAAGTGCCATGTAGCTACAAGATGCGTCCGAAGGTATAAGCTAAGCTTCTCCCCATGGCTCGATGGAAACGGACCGGGGATCAGGGAACATGCTCGGTGAGGAAAGGGCTTTAACAGTCCGGGATTTTACGGTTGATCAGCTGCACATGATGATCGTGGATTGGAAAGGAAAACAATGCACGCAAACAGTCCATGCTATGATGAGGGTACGTTTTCCAGGACGATGTACGCCGTGTATGTGCAATACAGTGACTGATGTTACGCAGGACCGACAGGCAACACCACGATATCGACAGGCACAAGCTCGTGAGTACCACCGCGATGCGGCGGAAAGACAAGGCGAACCAATGACTGCATCACATACATCTCAAGACAACAGTATTCAATACTTTATAATTTGTGTAGATTCATCCTACTTATGCAACAGCATATCACTATCCCTAACAAAGAAAAAATTCGCAAATGGGTATATAAATGAGGGCCGATTCGGCCCAATGCCTGTCAGCATGTACAAAAACGCCTTTTGTTCCAATATGCCGCTCGTCATTAACTCAATTCCGGAATAGCGAGCCCCAGGCTCCTTTCTATCACTACCCCAAACCCGTGGGGCCTCTCGTGGGGCCATGCCTGTCCGCTGCGCACAACCACCATGAGGTGTGCAAGGATAGATCGTGGGTGGGGCATGAGGCGTGCTCGTGCATCGCATGGGTAGGGGTATATGTGTCCGTAGATGTGCCGACCGTAGTAACGCCTGCCCGTTCGTGATTACTGATGTATCATTCGTTGTGAATCGTGTTGAGTGTTCGAAAATCGATTGTGCACTCAGCCTGGCGGCGGTGGTCAACGGGGAGACTCGCTCGTTCGTCGGGGTGTTGAGACACTATCTCGCTGCATGTCTCTCATCGCCTCGGCATAGTCCTTCTCCGCAGCCATGTCTCTGCTGTTACTGTTGACCATGTCGTCGATGAACTGATGTTGTTTCTTCTGCACGGGTTGTGCATCTGCTCCTGTAGGGCCATCGCCCAACATGCTGGGCACGATATCTTCTGGATCCAGCCCAGCGTTTGAGTCTCGGTAATCCGGCTGGTTGGGGAACATGACAGAGTCTTTTTGAGGTCTTCGCGCACGTTTTGGCTTCAGTGGGAAGTTGCTGGGATGGATGTAGTCGCCGTCTGGGCTGCGCACATTCTGGAGCGCGTTTGCTTCCCTCTCCATCTCTTCCCATGTGGCGACGAGGTTGTTGTCGTTACGACTCCGGCTGTCGCTCGGGTCACCCGAGAAGCTGCCTAGTCGACTGATCCGGAAAGCTCGCAGGCGGTCGAGCGCCACCTTGAAATCGTCGAGAACGACGGAATCCGTCAGGCACTTGAATACGAATGCGAACTTCCAGAAGGGGTTGATACCCGTGGCTCCTGGGAGTTTGATAGCCTCGGTGACTGTAGAAATGTCCAGGACGATGAAGACGATGCTGAGTAACATGGACAACAACATGATACCAAAACGCGGCGAGATGCGTACGATCTCCTTGAGGCTCAGTTCGTATTGCGTCTTGATGACCCAGAAAAGGTAGATGGTGGTGAGGATCCACCAGGGATCGCGGCATAGCGCCTCATATGGTCGTGTTTTCAGGAATATCTTGTTGACGCCATGAAAGTAGGCGAAGTTGGCGTATATCTCCACGACCCAGTACGGTTGAACAAGCACTACGGTACCGATGAAGATATAGCTGACAGGTTTTGAGAGGAACGGCTTGATCTTCATCCATGCAATGACATTGTGCAGAGACCAGGAGGCGTTCAGGAAGATGGCGGCGACGGAGAGCCACCAGGCGTGGACTGGGCTGGGAAAAAATAACCAGAATCCTTGCCAGATACCAAGGATGAGCTGGACTTGATTAGTATGGATGTAAGCAGATATGTAAATGTGGACTCACTTCAAGGAGAATTAACTAGATGGTTGTCAGCGGTGGTCACTGCTTAAAGAGGGTTCTTACTAACCTTGTGCAACAGGACGCCGCGCCTCATGTTTGCCAACGTGATGAACGCCATGATGATGAGCGAACCCACGAGATAACCTTGCGCCCATGCTTCCAGGATGAGTTCCTCCGGGTTGCTGGGCTTGGGTACGACCTCACCCTCTCTCCATTTGCGCTCGATGCTAGGAATGGGACTCATGGTGTTCGCAGAATTTTCGAAGGTCGGTTCCGAAAGCCGGGGCAGATGCCGAGGAAGCGTGCTGTGATGTCACAACGCGAAAACCTTCAAATTCGATCTTAACACTTTTACCATGGCAGGCGTGAGTGGGAGCGACAACGACGGGTTTATGAGGAAAGACGGGGAATGAGTACAAGAACGAACGGGCGCAGCTGGGCGTTTCTCGTGGCGCGTCAGTTCTCCGCATCTCGCCATGACATTTACGGACGATGGTCATCCTGGAGGCTCCGGGGGCCGAGTCCATGCGTAATGGTGCTTTGCCTAAGGGAGGCATAGTGTGATTGAATCATGGCGGTGGCGCCCAGTCGGCAATTGGGACCACGCGGGCCAAGAGGTGTTTGGTGAAGCTGTGAATAAGCCAGCCGTTGTCGACTTTGCACCGAGGCCTAGAGCCATTGGCCGGGCCGGCAAGTCTTTCGCTGACGCACCGCCGCCACGAACGTCTGCAGTGTTTGCATCATGACTGCCGCAATGGAATACTGAGGCATGGATTGGATGCGCAACTTTTGCGCGAGAACCAGCTGTTGCCGATGCGGTCAATGTCAGCACGGAACAGTGTACCGTGCAACGGCCGCATGCGTTCTGGTGCCTGGACGGCTAAAATTTGAAGTTCAGCACGCCTTGACCGGAAGTGGCTACCGTCGATGTCGAGGGCTGCCAGCTGCATGGATGCTGCGGCGGGTGAGCGACATGGGACCCAACAGGCCGGGCCAGCGTCCTGGAATCTGGGATCGAAGTCTATCTACGTTATTCATCTCCTTGCAGTTTTGGTGTGTGTTTCGTGTGCGAGGCTGTCTACCTTTGGTGGCAGCGCGACTAGATGGTAGATGACGGTGTGGCAGTATCTCAGAGAGTGTGTTTCAGATGGGACAATGTTTCAGATGAGGCAAAGGACGGCTCTGTAACGTGACAGTATGACCACCGCAAGAGGGAAAACATTGCGCTTCAGCTTGCGATAGAAGGCTATGGAGTCCTCGACGTGGGCTGATATTATCCGGAGGCTGTGAACAGCTTGTTATGGTGCGAAGACGCGTCCCGACGATGCAGCTGACGCAGTACCAGGCGTAAAGGGGACAATGGTCTATAAACAATGAGGCATTGCAACTATCGTCACTGACGCCTTCCGGCTTACCAAGTACAGCAGAAGGTCGACTGCCAGCTAGACAACCTCTAGATTTCAGGATCGGCAGGTGAGGCCCGCACGCGCCAGGCGATGTGGTTAATTTCGCAGGTGTCATCAGAAGCCCAACCATGGAAAAAGTAGCTTCGGGTCCCAAATGCTATATTGGCGGCTACAACTGCCTAGCTGGCGACAGAAGTCTAAAGTGACGACCGGGTCTGTGGGCCATCCGTGGACATTGGCTGCATCATCAACACAGACTTTCATTTCATGGACCAGGGCGAGGACATGAAGAAACAAAGCGGCACATATGGCGAAGTCTGTTGCAAAGGTAGTACTGCGTAGTCAGCATGAGGATGTTCGACTCATAGTGATGCTGCCGTTCGAGGCGCATGGCAAGGGCATGGCAAGGCTGGGGAAACGCGCTAGCTGCCCCGCTGAAGTCATAGAGAATCGCCGCGTCAAACATTGTTTGCAGCCAGCGCGCAGAGCTCCAGCCTCGTCCACGACATCCAACAGCTGCCGCAGAAGCATACGCGTTCAACATGTTCAAAAAGAAACCCACTGTAGGTTGCAATCTCGCACATACGCTGCACTGACTAACGCCCCTTAGATCAAGCCCCTCTCCCCCCTCAAGTCGAGCGACCGCCGCAGGACTGCCGACCAGATCATCGCCGACTTTGGCATAGACATTCCCGTAGATGCCGACGCGAATCCTGAAGATAAGGCAGCTTCCTCAACCGCCGGCCTCACAGCACTGCGCAAGTCGCTGCTCCCCGAGAATGCCCTGTCCGCGCGCTTCACCACAACCGCGGGGCCAGACCTCAAGCAGGTGTCGGGCACAATATACGTAGGCAGCCATGAGGGCACCAGCGGGGAGCAGAGAGTATTGTGGGCGAAGGTTGATGACAAGATGTACCCCACCGTCTATACTCTCTGGCACAACCCACGAATAGTCCCATTGCTCTATACGCCACTCGTCGTGGTAGAGAAGATGCAGGGTGGCGCTGACCTGATGACGCCTGGCCTGCAACGAGGCCCGCCTTTCCCCAAGAAAGCGACCAAAGGCGCAATCGTTGCCATTGCAAGCCTCGAGGCACCGACGGTACCCATGGCGGTTGGCGAGTGCGTCATTGATGTAAGCGCGTTGGGCAAAGTCCAGGGAACCAAGGGTATGGCTGTGTCGACGTTTCACTGGGCAGGCGACGAACTGTGGTCTTGGAGCTCGACAGGCAAGGCGGGCACTGAGCCTCCAGATATCCTCCAGGGCTGGGACGACGACAATGGTGAGGAGGCCAGTCTCGCTCAACGCACGGCAGCCGTCGATCTAGATGATGAGGAAGGTGGTATCACTCTCGATGCCACCCCGACAGAACGGTCAGAGGCGGAGAAAGCACAGGGCGTACAAGGCGAAGACGCGCCATCCAACAACGACTTCATCGATGTCCTCGAAGATAAAGAGCTTACAACCAAGGGTATGCTTCCTACCCTCAATTACACTGGCCACTAGCTAACAAACTTAGAAATCGACGAAGCCTTCAAGAACGCGTTCCTGTACGGTGTCCGATACCACATGGATCACAACAAGGGCCATCCCTCCTATGGCCTCGACTTCCCGATCTCGCAGACAAATGTCATGTCCACGCTCGTCCTACCCTTCCTCCCTACCTATACCCCTGCGCGAACAGCCTCACTACAAATCAAGAAGACAAGTTGGAAGAACCTGAGAAAGTTTGTCCGGTATCTCGACAAGCAACAAATTCTCAAGTGCAAAGACCGCGACGGCAATGAGGTCGTAGTCCTTGACATCGACTTCAAGGACCGCCAGATCGAATCGTTCGTTCCCTACCGGCTACCGAAGAAAGATGCGCCAACCGCAGCGAGCGTCAACGGGAAGCCAGCCGCACCTCTTTCCGCCGAGTCCTCCGTAGGCCAAAAGCTCAAGCTCGTCTCCGTACTCCGACCCAAAGAGAAACTCGCACCGATTCTGAGCGCCTCCAAAGCCGATCCCCGCGGCCTCTACACCCCATCAGAGCTGAAGCAACTCCTCATAGCCTACATAGAAGCTGAGAACCTAATCGACCCCAAGAACAAGCGCCTCATACGTATTAACCCGCAGCTCGCAGACGCGCTACTAGGCTCCTCGGCCGCCGACAACGCCGCCCTCTCCTCAGGAGCCATGCCGCGCGACGCCCTCGCCGAGCGCATGGTCGCCGCCTCTTCCCCCTTCCACGCCATAATCCGCAACGACGCCGACATCTCTGACGCCAAGCCCAAAGCCGGTGCACCACCTAAAATCCAAATCACGCTCGAGACGCGCAGCGGCAACAAGACCGTGACGAAAGTACATGGACTGGAGCCGTATTACATATCGCCACAGCCGCTTGCTGATGAGCTGCGCAAGACGTGTGCCGGTAGTACGAGTGTGGATAAACTGCAGGGGTCTAGTCCCAAAGCACCGGTCATGGAGGTTATGGTGCAGGGGCCACAGAAAGATGCCATTATGAAGGCGTTGGAGAAGAGGGGCGTGCAAAGGAACTGGGTAGACGTTGTGGACAAGACGAAGGGGAAGAAGAAGTAGACGTATATATGCGATAGGTTTGCAAGCAGTTGAATGATACCCAGCTTGTTTTCTACGTGTACTGTATTTTTTGATGGCCGAGTAGTGACTGGAAAATGTCTTCGAGATGATGGATTGTTTTTATTAAACATACTGAATGGCTCACTACTATAGAGGGTATCAGATTACCGGGAAAAGGAGCGGAAATGCTATAGTGAGCTCGTGCCTGACATGGAGAGGTGACTTGACCTTGTCCTTTAAGACACGCCAGACTTCATACAGCCCAACACGACTTCCGTGAAAGAATATGTTGAGCCCTCTTCCACCACTCTTCAATCGTTACCTGGACATGTTTAGCATCGCGCGTAGGTTCCTAGCCCGTGCGCGTCGCGTCACCGTCCTTGTCCGCTCCCTTCTCGCCGACATCCCCTGCCATTACGTCCTCAAAGAAATTGAACATGCTATCCTGCCCACTCTTCTTGAACTCCTTGATACACTGATCAGGTGTGATGACTTCGGCGATAGTCTGTATCTCCTGCTTCCACTCCTTCACATACGACGCTGTTGGTTCGGTGTGCACGACGTAGAAGTGGCGGTAGTCGCGTCGCATGTCGACTTGCAGTCCGGCGTAGTAGCGTATCATGTTCAGGTTCGCGGCTTGCTGGCTACGTTTGAGCGTGTTGAAGTAGTCGACGGGTTCGCATTCTGCGATCGCACGGCGCTCGGAGAGGATGGGGTGTTTGTCGGCTTTTAGGCTGAAGGGGGCGTCGGGACTGTCTTGCTCGATGTAGTTGGGGTTTGTGAGGAGAGAGTAGAGCTCCGCGGCACTGTGTTAAGGTTAGTGGTAAATCGATTTGTTCCAAATGTAGTGAACGAACCTCTGTACATCAGGATCTCCAGCTTGGAGCTCTGTTGCTTGATCTTCGCAGTAGGCAAACAGATGTTCCATCAATTCCGGACGGACACACAGACGCCAGAGCAAGCTGTTCTCGACGATCTCTGGCAGCTGAGCTGATGGACCTGCGAGTTCCTTGAGCTTCTTGATTTTCGCCAAGAAGAGCTTGATGATACACAGCGCATATTTTGGCATCGCTTCGAAGACTTCGTCCGTGATGTAGATGAATCCACCAACAGGAAATATCTCAATGCGATCATTCCGGAGCACAGGTGTCTCGTCTGAAGCATAGTCGTATTCGATACCTGGTTGAAGCCCGACTGACCAGAGACGCACTCCTCTACGGAGGACTTGGCCGAATCCGGGAATACCTGTAAAGTATTCAA